CATGAGTATGTCAATTTAAGATTCAAGGCAAGTATGATTCAAAACAGGGTGCGACATCTAAAAACGTGCCCATACACTCTTGAACAAAATGGGGTCGCCGAGCTGCTGAACGATGCGCCGATCTATTTGCTTTTTGCTGAAGAAATTCTACTACTACACAGAAAAAAAGTTGTTGAAAATTACATCCAAACTGCTGCAACCAGGTCAATCCATCGGATGCATCTGCCACAAGAGCAGCGTTAGCTTCGTCGTTCTCGGGTACTGCTCTCTCGGTTTCAAACATCTCCTCCCCAACTTGTATGGTCCCCTCCGCCACATACAAGTCCTTGAAGTATCAGAGCATGTGCTGCTCGATGTATAGGGAGCCTTGAATTTGCTCTCCTCGCTCGTTCTGCAGCTCTGTGATGATTGTTTTTTTACGTCGTCTATCACCCAACTGGAAGGTGGATATGCTCTCTCCAGCTACGAATGTTTCATTGATCCGAATGAAATTTTGTGCGAAGCGTCGCTGCAGCAGGAGCATTTTCGCTTTCACGCGGTTGATAGTCGTCAACATGTCTGAATTTTGGTAGTAGCCATCATACGCGAGCCTTAATTGCGCGTTGGTATTCAGCGTTAAAGATGCTGAATGCTTCGCTTGACTTCCAGCGGAAAAACGATTTAATTTTTGGCTTTGCGTATGAGATCCACCATGACATCCAGTTGGGGAAATTCCTCCGTTGGCGGGTCATAAACTGCCACCGGACTTGGAAATCGTCGATGTTTTCGGCAGTTAAAAGATGAGAACGGAGGGACCAGAATCCACGTCCTTGTTCACGACCAAGGTGGGGAAGGCAAATTCGCGCTGTAAGAGCTTTGTGGTTTGTGAACGAACATACGTGTGTGGCAGCACTTCGCAGATGCTCGCAAAGCCCATAGCTTACATACATGCGATCGAGCCTGGATGCTGCATTGTGCATAACGTATGTGGGTGCGGGGATATAACTTCAGCCACAGCAGCTGCAGCTGCCGTACGGTCGCCTCGAGCTCGTCGGGCTCGTGGAGCCGCTCGGGCGATTTTTTTTGTCTTTATAAAAGAGATTTTTAGCCTTAGGCTAGTTCATTTCTATGCTCGGGCGAAGCACGCAATTAAAATCGCCAGCGAGGTCGACGTGTTGCGTGTTGTGCCGAAGGTAATATGCGATCGTGTCGTTGAAAAATCTCTCTCTTTCCGCAACGGGGTGGTTTTAGAGTAACTCTATGGTTAAAACTTGTTTATAATCCCTGCTAAACTTTAACTGAAATAGTTATGGAACCTTACAAATAATGGTTTGTTAAGAACCATTACCATTCAAAATAGATGTTTTCTCCACACATTTTCGGAAAGAAAACTATATTAGAACTTTTTTACTTATGGTTCAATAATTTAATGGTAATGGTTATGGTAGTCAGTAAGGTCCTTCATGGTTTTGTATTGTTGGTCAACTTTACGTGGAATATATCTTGAATTGGTAATCATACATTTACAGGCAACCTATTCGCGATATATTCCACGTAAAGTTGATAGATGTTACAAAACCATCCATGCACCTTACTGACTACCATTACCATTAAAATTCTGAAACCATAAGTAAAAAGGAACTATTTTGAATGGTAATGGTTATTAACAACTCATTATTTGTAAGGTTCATTTAAAAAAAACATAATACATAAGGTTAAAACTTTATCTCACAAACGTTCATGTAGAGTTCCATAAAAAAATTAGTTAAAGTTTAGCAGGTATCATAAACAATTTTAACCATTTCTGGTAAGGTCAAGCAATGATTCGCATTTATGGGGGCGTTTCTTTGAGACCTCCTGGTCTTAGAGTTACCTCTATTGGCAAATCAAAGTTGGCACTCGTGGAGAATAGATGAACTATGAAAGTGATGATGGTTTCAAAATTTTACACGGTGAGGTATACGAGTTCAATCTTAAAATGCCGTTATTTTGCAAATTGAGCATTTTATTTAAATTTGGTTGATGCTACGTTAGTAGAAAACTTAAGGACTACTCAGTAGATATATAATATAGAAAAATTAATTTCTTTTCAGATTTTTAGGTGTATGCATAGATTTCAGCTTTTCTACAACTGTAGCAACAACTAGATTTAAATTCAACGTTCCATTTTCAAAATAAAAGCATTTTAAGATTGCACTCGTATACCTCTCCGTGGAAAATTTTGAAACAATCATCACTCTCATAGTTCTTCTATTCTCCACGAGTGCCAACTTTGATTTGCCAATAGACGAGTGCACGGATGGATTTTAGTTCACTCGCTCGACAAAAAGTGACACAACAGCGGGGCCCTGTTTACTAAAAATTAACACATGAATAATACTTGCGTAATATTTGAAACGGGCCAATCAACTTTTGTACACAAAATTTGTTAAGCCCTTTTCGCGCGAACCGAATACGCCCACGCAAATTAACAACACCATCGGGTAGGAGAAATTCTCCCCTTCCCGATAGCACAAACGAAGTGACAGACGACTAACTGGCGAAGAAATCCATTTAAATAATGTGGTTCACTGTAATAGAATTTTCTTGGAAGCTTGTGCCATCATCCACCAGATGGGTTAGTTTTTTTGTTTTGATTTGAACAAAGTTGATTTTGTGTACAGTGGTTCTTTGACAGTGTGCAAAGAGTGCGTATCATTTTGTCATTTTTTTATGCATTTCATTTTGAGTAGAGTGAAAGAGATAGAACCAAAACATTCTAGTACATTTGGTGAAAATGCTAGTTCAATCTAGTAGTAGCACAAACGAAGTGACAGACGGAGCGAAAACTTTGGTGACTAACCTGCTATTGCATTTTTTCAGTGTACCACATGGCAACACCACTACTACTGGATTGTACCACATGGCAACACTACCATAGAGGTAACTCTAAGACCACTGGGTCCCGAAGAAAATCATTATTATTTTTGGCTCACTCAGTACCAGAACAACGGTCCCAAGCAGTCCCAAGCTATTTCACTCACCCCTGCATGTTCTGCATGAATCCACACACCCCTGATGTTATCTGTCAAACTTTCAAAGCGAATCAAAACAAACATAGTGTAGTAATAGAGTTTCAACTAGAATAGGGTACGTTAATCGTTTGCTTGGGACCAATAGGCTACTAAAGTGGTGAGTCAATTTAAAATCGTTAGTTTCGTATTGATTGTTGACACTACTACTAGATTGAACTAGCATTTTCACCAAATGTACTAGAATGTTTTGGTTCTATCTCTTTCACTCTACTCAAAACCGAAATGCATAAAAAAATGACAAAATGATACGCACTCTTTGCACACTGTCAAAGAATCATTGTACACGAAATCAACTTTGTTCAAATCAAAACAAAAAAACTAACCCATCTGGTGGATAATGGCACAAGCTTCCAAGAAAATTCTGCTACAGTGAACCACATTATTTAAATGGATTTTTTCGCCAGTTAGTCGTCTGTCACTTCGTTTGTGGTAGTAGCATAGAGGTAACTCTAAGACTAGAAGGTCCCAAAATAACGTGCTCAACTTTTTGGCTCAGCTCTGGTACTCTCTTCGGTCCCAAGCTAATGATTCACCCCTCGAAACATAGGAAAAACCAATAACCCCTCATTTTATCTGTCAAACTTTCATAGCGAATCAAAACAAACATTGCGTAGTACTATAATTTCGACTAGAATAGGGTACGTTAATCGTTTGCTTGGGACCAATAGGCTAGTCAAGTAGTGAGCCAATTTAAAATCGTTAGTTTCGTATTGATTGTTGGTAGTAGTGTTGCCATGTGGTACAATCCAGTAGTAGTGGTGTTGCCATGTGGTACACTGAAAAAATGCAATAGCAGGTTAGTCACCAAAGTTTTCGAGCCGCTCCGTCTGTCACTTCGTTTGTGCCGATAGTGCTCTTGGTTTACGTAAGCATACTTCGGTTCTCGTCAAAAGGACCTTGCAAGTTGCTTAGAAAAATTGATAATCCATTTTCAAATGTTATGCGAGCATTATTCATGTGTTCATTTTTAGTAAACAGGGCCCCGCTGTTGTGTCACTTTTTGTCGAGTGAGTGAACTCAAATCCATCCGTGCACTCGTCTATAGGATGCTGCACGCTGACGTCACGAATGAACGCGATGAACCCGCATTCATCAGTTTGACATCCAGTGGTGGTTTGTTTACCTATGCTTTTTAGGCTATTCAAGTGGATTTTAGGTTTTAAATATAAAAAAAACTAAAACATATGATATCCGACTATGTTCCTTTGAAAAATATTCCACTCCAAAAAATCTAAAAAAGAAAAATTTAAAATTTTTTTAAATTTTTTCTATGTCTATGTAAACAAACCACTGCCAGATGTAAAAAATGTGAGGTTAAACCGACGGTGCAGCTCTCTATAGACCTTTTTGACGTTTAATCGTCTTTCTCTATCTAGCACACATAAATGAATGGACGGTTTGTTTTCCCACTAATCTATTTCCCTCTTGCTCGTACTCGTTCGATTTAAATAGTGCAGTAGTGTGCGCCGATTAAACGCTCTATGGGCACCAGCAGAAGTGTAAACACCCCATAACTAAGAGACCCGCAATCACATACACAAAACGCCTCAATTCTGAGAGATGCTGCTTAACGACCATAACAAATTGGCGTTGACGGCGACTCTGTAGCTCTTTACTCTTATGAGAAAATCCATAAGCAAACGTCAGACTGTGCGTGAAACATGGCGGACTTTGTACTATCCTTTCACTCCACCGAAAATTCCCATAGGAAACTGTCTATATTTGCTGGAAGAGCAAATTTTTCGACGGTGCCGTCAACGCCAATAGAATTGAATATGTAAATGTCTTCTCTTCTTTCATTCTCACGTTGTTTCATGCAACAGACTGCACTGCAGTGAGGGTGACGTAAAACGTATAGCTCACAGTTTCATTTAAAATTAAGGAATTAAAATATATATGAAGTCGTCACATTACTGCATTCACATCCAATATTAAATTACAACATACTCAAAGAAAGGAAACCGCTTAGTTAATTTCTCACGGCGTGCGGCTTGGAAATCCAGATTATTGCATATTAACCAAACCATTTCCTGCGTCCACGTTGTCCCGGAACGTGGATACGTTGCAACCTGTTGAACAAAGGTAAACATTATACATGTTTGTGAACATTTAGCATCCTAGCTCAATATTTTTACCCAAACATCGTCAGGCCTCGCTGGAAAATTGTAGAAATGCTTTGCTGAATCTTGATATTTACTAGGAAATAACCATTTATCGTCACCAACCTGCACGAATCCAGTTTTTTCACCTGAAATGTATCGTAAAGTTCATTGATTTGGGTGTATATTTTTTATTAATAAAGAATCACGATAGCATGACCAACCCTTTTGGCATAATAGTCAAACATCGTTTGTATCAAAAAAAAAAAGAAATTTAACCACTGAATTATATCTAATTAAATTTACTTAAAAATCGATTATTACCTACAATATCTATCATTTTTGAAGGCATCTAAAAAATGAATACTGGCCAATAAAGGATGTAATCTAAAAAAACACAGGTTACTCATAAACACTGGCCTGATTTTTTTCTCACGGCAATAACATGTTTTAAGCATAAACGAAGTGACAGACGTCTAACTGGCGAAGAAATCAATTAAAATAATGTGGTTCGCTGTAATAGAATTTTCTTAGAAGCTTTAGCCATCAGCCACCAGATGGGCTAGTATTTTTGTTTTGATTTGAACATAGTTGATTTTGTGTGCAATGATCTTTGACAGTGTTACATTTTGTCATTTTTGATGCATTTCAGTTTTAAGTAGAGTGAAAAATCAAAGGGTTGTGTCCTATACACGACCGCAGTATGATGTAGAACCACGCAAAATTGATGTATGTCATGCATTTTTGACTGTTATACCACAAACGAAGTGACAGACGGAGCGGCTCGAAAACTTTGGTGACTAACCTGCTATTGCAATTTTTCAGTGTACCACATGGAAACACCACTACTACTGGATTGTACCACATGGCAACACTACTACCACAAACGAAGTGACAGACGGAGCGGCTCGAAAACTTTGGTGACTAACCTGCTATTGCAATTTTTCAGTGTACCACATGGCAACACCACTACTACTGGATTGTACCACATGGCAACACTACTATTGGATTGAACTAGCATTTTCATCAAATGTACTAGAATATTTTGGTTTTATCTCTTTCACTCTACTCAAAACTGAAATGCATAAAAAAATGACAAAATGATACGCACTCTTTGCACACTGTCAAAGAATCATTGTACACAAAATCAGCTTTGTTCAAATCAAAACAAAAAAACTAACCCATCTGGTGGATGATCGCACAAGCTTCCAAGAAAATTCTATTACAGTGAACCACATTATTTAAATGGATTTCTTCGCCAGTAAGTCGTCTGTCACTTCGTTTGTGCTACTACTAGATTGAACTAGCATTTTCACCAAATGTACTAGAATGTTTTGGTTCTATCTCTTTCACTCTACTCAAAACTGAAATGCATTAAAAAATGATAAAATGATACGCACTCTTTGCACACTGTCAAAGAATCATTGTACACAAAATCAACTTTGTTCAAATCAAAACAAAAAACTAACCCATCTGGTGGATGATGCCACAAGCTTCCAAGAAAATTCTGCTACAGTGAACCACATTATTTAAATGGATTTCTTCGCCAGTTAGTCGTCTGTCACTTCGTTTGTGGTTCTAGCATTTTCACCAAATCTTGATAGAGCTGGCGTAACAGCTTTTGTAAACAATTCCTTCTATCGATGATTTCTAGGAACTCAAGGCACGCCCACGCAGACCAACATAACCATCGGATAGGGGATGTCTTTTCCTACCTTATGAGAATTTTGGTTTGCGTGGGCGAGTATTGGATTTCTAGAAATCATCGATAGAAGTCATTGTTTACAAAAGCTGTTAGGCCCTAAGTCCAGCTCTATCTAGAAATGTACTAGAATGTTTTGGTTCTATCTTTTGACGTAGAACTACGTCTTTGTCGACTATACTGGGGTGCAAATCAATAAATATGTGTGATGAAATAGTGTTAGGTTTTGAACGCTTGTAACTTTGTCATTTATAGATGAAAATAAAATCCAAATACGCCAAATTGCAATAGCAGGTTAGTCACCAAAGTTTTCGAGCCGCTCCGTCTGTCAGGGAACGTTGATTACGTATTCCGGCCATGCTTTTGGACATTTATTGATATCATGTTGCCCGGCATTCTTTGTTGCTTAGCAAACATGTTACTGTTATCCTTCCAGCGACCCTGGTGTGTCCCGATTGCTCGGAATGATTAAGCTCTGCAATACTTTTCAATATCTAACAAGTGGTTTATAAACCAGTTTTTCAGTACATATAGAATTTCTGGAATGTTTGCGTTGTCCTATTTTTCCGTAAATAAGTATTCCTTCTTTCAACAACATGTGTGGGCTTCGTGGTCCAGTGATTAGCAGCGTCACCCGTCGCTAACCAGGGTGTCCATTCAAATCCCATTTTTTAATTCCCGGTATTTTCCCGGTTATTTAAAAAAAAATCTGCCTTAAACAAAAAAAGGCGTTCAAAATTAACCCTTTAAAGATAATGATTTAATTTTGTCAGCAGAATTGCTTTACAATACGTCTACTTTGCGGGGCTGGTAGTGGGTATTTTATGTAATAGTAGTGGCTGTAGTGTCTAACATAACGAAAAAAGTGACCAAATAGTGAGATTTAAACAGATAAAAATGACCAATAGTGACATTTATTGATCGGAAAGAAATAAAAGATGTGGTTCCGATCTGTCGTTGAATGCGACCCACTTTGAGAAATATTATAAACTCACAAACCAGCATTTTTCAATAGGTTAATTTCTAACCTCCATTTCCTCGCTCAGTACTCATTTCTGTCTCTATTTTTGGGAAACCAACCATTTAAGTTGAATTTAGATTCCGAACGCGAATTGGTTATGAATGAATTTCGGGATGTGAACAATTGAACATAGTCATTAATTAGGAAATCTTGAAATTGAGAAAAATTAAGGTGCAGAGAGAAAAGCTCAAAGTCTAGGACAAATTTGTCAATTTTAAGACACGCAATTTTAAAGATCTCGAATATAGAAACTTCTGTAAAACTTCGAACATAAACAAATGTTCATATCTCTGGAACCTAGATAACTGTTCTAGATCGTAGTCCAAGAAAAATTATCATTATTCTGGAACGAGACAAATTGTCTCACTTAGAAAGACAATATTACACGCGTTTATGTTTTAAAATATTGATCTTGAAAATAGTTGTAAGATTCTGGTCATGCTTTCCATGCACAGTTGTACACACCAACTGCTCATTTGTTAATAACTTTTCACTCAGTTGTTGAAATTAGTTTTTTTAAAGTAATTTATAGATTAGGATCATCGTTAACTATAGATATGCAAGGAGTAGGTAAAGCATAACATTTGAATCAACACCAATGATTTTTTACACTTAAAGTCCGAGATGTGCAGCGAGCATTTCTCAGTTGTGCAACGCAAAAACAAATACAGTGTATTACTAGAAATAAAATCTACTTTTTATACGTATCTATAAGAAGCTTAAACACAATTCTATCGACTGCTTCAAAAAGAACTATGTTTCGTCAACGTGCAAAGTTGTTAGCAAAAGAGCCAAAACTGCGTATGCCAAGCATGATTCTGGTAAACATTTTAGAGATATTGGACATTTTTGTTTAATGCTGGGACTTAGTAATTCGCGATCTCTATTACAAACAAATTAAGAAAACCTAGAATAATTTACAATATGTAAAAATGTAATTTCACAGTCCTAGAAAAATTTAAATGTTTCTAAAATATAGAAAAGATTTCATGATTTTGACATCGAATTTCTCTAAAATCTGAGCTTGGAAATTTGTTGATTCCGGACTTGTAAAAAATACAATTTGATGAACTAGGAAAACAACTTTTGAAAAAAGGTTCTACTACATAATTTTTCGATGTTTGGACAGATACTAAAGCTACCGGCCAGGTCTTCAGGTCTTTTAAAATCTCTTACGCTTCTAAAGTTTCTTAGACCATTTTTCAACATCTTAGACTTGAAAAACTTTCAAGATGGCGAAGCAAAAAAGCAAAGCTATTGGAAACATAGTATATTTTTTTCGTCACTTCAGAAAATTTGTGATATTTCGAAATCATAGACAAAGGAAAAAAAGACAAATTGTATAATCTATTTTTTTTAAGTTAATGGGCTTGAAACAAATACACTCTGGCCTTTCTATTCATGAACTTAAATACCTGTATTTCGGTTATTTCCGGTTGTTAACCTAGTTTTCCCGGATTCATTGAAATAGATAATTTTGATAAAATACCCCAAGTAAGATCACAAGCAATATCGCATGATAAAACCCAAATTCAATCAGAAAAATATCCAAAAATATCTAATGAAGAGTTATTTTCTAGAAATTTAGAAATTATCAAATTAGGTAATACAGAGATTAAACATTTGTTCAGGTTCCTTTCAAGAAATTCAACATTCAGAACAGCTGTTAAGATTTCATGCTTACAAAATAATTAAGATCCGAGTCTAGGAAAACTCTTCAAATTAGAAATTTGGAGTCATACGGCACGAGTTGAACCTCAGCTTGTTAACAGAGCTTGTGCTGCATAGGTGGAAAAGATTACTCAGTTGAAAACTTCATCTGCATGATGACTGCATAGTTTGATAACTGGTACTTGTCGATGAAGATGATCTCGTCCAATTAACCAATTCGACAGGGACATCCACTCCGATACAAACGTTAGCTCCACTACCCGCACCCGTTCCGGAAAATGTTTTACCTCTCCGGAACCGGTTCGAGTTGCCAAACGAAAACGCCGCACACAGCAGTAATTGGAAGTCGATCGATGTCGAAGTATTAGAAAAAAAAAGATGAATAAGAATAGGCTGAGCAGTCGAGGCAGCAAGAGATAAAAACGTGACATCAAATCCTATGTCCCGATCGATTCGTATACAGAAGTTTCACTGCGCCGCCTGGTTGGAAAGGATTCCCCGCGACATGAGGGAGCGCAACTACGCGAAGCATGCCAGCCTTACCTATCGGGTTGATATCGATCCAGTGATCGATCTGTACGACGAAACTACTGCCACGGCGATTGTAACCATGAAAGTGCACCGGCAAGTGACGATTTACTGCGACAAATGCAACGTACCTAAGAAATCGTCTCTCGGATTAGTATTCCACCGGTTGGTTTTGCATGATAAAGCACAACCAGTACTCGTACTGTCTGGTTCTGCAGAAGAAAAGA